CGATAGGGGAAGATCTGAAAGCTGGGGGCGTCCGACTAAATCTCACCGAAGCGATGGTGAGCAGCGCTCAAACCTAAGGCTAGGGACAAGTAAGTTAGTATTGAATAAGTAAGTAAGTACAGGGGCTTACTGACCTAGGGACAAGAGGTCGAAACTGAGGTCCCTAGGGCAGCAGAGGCAGGTTTATATACAGGGGAAGTTTAGGGGAGGCTGTGCGCGCTGGTCCGTGCGCAGCTGGTCCGTGCACAGCATGCCGACGCGGCCCCGGGGGCCGGTGAGTCAGAGCGGCTGTGTCAGCGGAGCCCGAGCTGTGCCGCGCACTGCCGTCCTATCTAATCTAATCGTACAGTAGATAACGACGCGTCCATATCAGGCAAGTAGTACAGAGGTCGCGGGTTCGAGCCCGCGAAAAGGAAAATTAAAAAACGGCTAGACGCCGTACCAAGTCGTGACATTACCCCCCCCTCAACGGCGCATGACCTCATGCGAGGCGCCCTTGCCCATCTCCCATCCGGAGCGGCAACGTGCTGCAGTCAGCGGCGAAGGCATTGGCTGAAAGTTGAGACCACCAAAGACAGCAGCGTTGAGGCGGCGAGGGGCGTTCGGATTCTTCCAGTGGAAGTCGGCTATGAGGGCCGGCGCATTGGCTACGTTGCGCGCCGGTTCCCATGACGTATGCGAGTCGTCATAACCCTTCCACTTGACGAGGTACTGCAGCTGACGCCGGAAGATCCTCGAATCTTTGATCCGCTCAACCTCGTACTCCTCGTCGCCCTCAACCTCGATCGCAGGCAGTTCCTCCGGCTCTCGGCCCGGGATATCGCTACGCGTGTACTTGCTCAGCAAGGAGACATGGAATACCGGGTGCACCGGCACCGACTTTGGCAGGATTAATTCGTAATCCAGGTCTCCGAGCTTCCGCCGCACGGCATAAGGTCCGAGGCGCTTGGGACTGAGCTTCTTGCTCGGCTGTTTCAGCTTAAGGTTCCGAGCGTCAAGCCAGACCTTGTCCCCCGGCGCGAAGACTGGTGCCTCCTGCACGTGCTTGTCGTAGTACACCTTCATGCGCTCAGCTGATAGCTCAAGCGCAGAGCGCGTATCATCCCTGATCTCCTTTAAGATCTTGAGCCGATCAGCGGCCGCAGGCATCGCAGACATCGGATTGATCCGCACTTGGATCTCAGGATGGTACCCCTGATGCAGGAAGAACGGGGAGTGCCCGGTTGCGGAGTGAACTCGGTTGTTCAGTGCGAATTCCGCGAGCGGCAACTGCTTTGCCCAATCATCCTGCCTGTGGCTTGTGAAAGCACGCAGGTACTGTTCGATCTCCTGATTCCAGCGCTCAGTCTGGCCGTCCGTCTGAGGGTGGAACGCTGTGGACAGCGCCGGCTCGATCCCCAGACCCTTGTACACCGCATGGAGATATTTCGAAGCGAACTGGGGACCTCGGTCTGATATGACCTTGGCCGGGGCCCCATGATGCTTGAACACGTCGCGGATGTACAGGTCTGCCGCACCTTCTGCCGTCAGGGTCTCATGACAGGCTGAGAAGTGGACCTGCTTGGTAAAGCGGTCGGCGGTGACCAGGATCGAGTCGAATCCATCAGACTTCGGCAAGCCGACGATCATATCGGTCGTGATGATCTGCCATGGGCGCTCGGGGATCTCGTTTGGCTTCAGCGGACCCTGGGGTTTGGCTGGGAATGTCTTGGTACGGTTGCACACATCGCAGGTGCTTACGTACTCATTGACGAATTTAGACATCCCAGGCCACCAGTAGTTCCGCGATACGAGCTCAAGGGTTTTGGCACGACCACCATGACCGGCGATCGGCGAGTCGTGGTGGATCTTGACGATATCCCGCCGGAGCTCCGCGTTCTTTGGAACGTACACGCACCCACGGAACAACAGAAGCCCTTGTTCGGCATTCCACTCCTCAAAGCCCCTTTGCAGCCGGGGCGGCCCGAGGTCCTGTACTTTTTCAAGTGCCTCGGCTACCTCCCGATCTTTCTCCGAACATTCCCGGATGCGCTTCAGAAGCGACTGATCGGCCGTCACCGAGGCATGACCACGCCGGGCAGAGGCGATGCGGAAGCGCTCTGGCTTGAGAACCACCTGATCGGTGTTATCGTCCTCATCGCCGATCTGATGGTCTGATCGACGCGACAGGGCATCAGCCTTTCCATTGGACGTCCCGGCCTTGTGCGTGATGCGGAAGTCGAAGCGAGCTAGGAACAGCGACCATCGCGCTTGACGGCGCGTGAGATGTTGGGATGTACGCCAGTACTCGAGGTTCTTATGATCGGTCACGATCTCGAACTGATTGGGTAACCCCTCAAGGTAGTGGCGCCAATCGTCTAGCGCTTCAATGATCGCGAGCATCTCCTTATCGTAGATCTCGTAGTTCCGCTGTGCCGGATCCATGGCATGGGATCTGAAGGCAATGGGATGCCATTTGCCGTCATCCTGCTTCTGCATCAATACGCCGCCAGTGGCGTACCCCGAGGCATCAACCTCAATGCGCGTTTCCCGATTAGGGTCGTACAGCGCCAAGACTGGAGTCGTCACGAAGAGCCGCTTGAGCTCATCGAAAGCGTGCTGCTCCTCTTCACCCCAATGCCATGGGTCATTCCCTGTGAGTCGGTCGAGTGGTCGCGAGATCTTAGCGAAGTCTTTGATGAAGCAGCGGTAGAAATTGGAGAACCCCCGGAACTTCTGAACGTCTTTTTTGTTCCGGGGTACCGGCCACTCATTAATTCCTTTAAGCTTCGCGGGATCCATCGCCACCTCATCGCCACCGAACACATAGCCGACGTAGTCGACCTTGGGAACATCCCATTCGCACTTCTCAGGCTTCAGGAACAGATCATTGTCCTGAAGGCGACGAAGAACCTCGCGTGTGACCTTCTCGTGCTCCTCCTTGTTGGTGGAGAAGATGAGTATGTCATCCAGGTATACGAGGATCTTGCCACCAACAATGAGATCGTGGAATATCTCGTTCATCATTGCCTGGAAGGTCGCAGGGGAATTGGTGAGGCCGAAGAACATCACCAAGGGCTCGTACAACCCTCGGTTAGTCACGAAGGCCGCCTTCCATTCGTCACCGGCCTTGATCCGGACGTTATTGTATCCCCATCGGACGTCGAACTTTGTGAAGAGTGTAGCGCCGCGGAGCTTATCCACCATCTCGGCGATCAACGGTAAGGGATAACGATTCTTGACCGTGATCGCGTTCAACCGGCGGTAGTCCTGTACGGGTCGAAGTGTCCCTTCCTTCTTTTTGATGAAGAAGAAGGGGGACGAGATCGGTGACTTCGACTCCCGTATATAGCCTTTCGCTAACTGCTCCTTTAGGAATTTGTCCAATTCCTCCTGCTCGTTGTTCGACAACGGGTATACCTTCGAATGGAAGGTCGAGTAGCCGGGCACGAGTTCGATTGCATGATCGTACGGCTTCCTTTCGGGTAACCGTTCCGATGCTTCCTTGGAGAAGACATTCAGGAACTCGTGGTACGGTTTAGGCACCGACTCCTCGGCGGTTTTAACGACCTTCTTTTTGATCTCTTCCTCCGCGAACAACTGGGAGTATGTATGCCCTGCTGCAGCGAACAGCTGAGGAGCGCCAGGAAGCGTGACACCTTGCTCCCAGGCTTCGATCAAATCGGCCTCATCCCACTCTACCTCCCGATCTTCTTCGGGTTCGAAGTCCGGGAGTACTTGACTCCGGCAGGCACCTATCACCGGTCGTTTGGACTTCGGCGAACGCCTGCGCGCCGTGGGCCTGACCCCCGTATCACGCACAGTCGCTGCTTGCTCCATTCGGCCAATCCTCCTGGCACTGCATGTTTCAGGGCATCGCGACAATTTGAGGGAGCCCTTCTCCCAATCTATTTCGGGGTTGTGCTCGCGTAGCCAATCCAACCCGACGATCACATCCTCTGGACCGATGTCCGTGACCGTGAACACCGTCTTCTCGACGTGCTCTCCTATATGCATCTGTAGCACCGCTACCTCCGAGATGCTTCCGTCCTTATTCAGGGTGCCGTCAATATTATACAGCGGAATTGGTTCCTTCAACTTCCGCGTCTGCACCTTATTTTCTAAAATGAACCGCTTGTTAATGAACTTCGTGGTGGCCCCGCTGTCCACCATAGCGATTACGTCCTTGTGCCGTCTTTTCCCTTGAAGTCGAACTGGAATGTGAAAGTGTTGGGACCCCTGGTCCAACTCATACACCATTGCAGTTGATAATATATTATAACGATTACATGATATACCCGGCCCGACGCGTGCGGCACGAAGCGCGGACCGGATCAAAAACCCTCCTCCTTCATCGCCCGATAGTGTTCGAGCTCCTCGCGCATCGACTGCACCTGTGCCATTAAGTCCGCCAGCTCCGATTGCTCGGATTTCGCTGAAGCGGCACTTATACTTGCCGAGGGTGATGTCGTGACGGGGGCGCTTGTCGCAGCCTGGGTGGATCCCGAGGCAACCGTAGCCCGCGCGTCGGTGCGTTTTGTGTAAGGCTTGTCCTTACAATTGGGGCACTCGAAGCGTCGGTACCCTTGCTTCCCACAGCCGAAGCATGTGCCGGGGAAGTTGCCTTTTCCGACGGCCGCATTGATGCTGGCCGAAGCTGCATGCGTCGAGGGTGCACCACCACGTGCCCCACCGCGTCCTCGACCTCGGGCCGAGAAGAAGTTATTTAGCTCGGGCCGACGAGCCCGGCTAACGTCGAGGATTTGCTCGACCTCGGTGGCGCGCTTTTCAGCGGCTTGCCACGTGGCAAAGGTTTCGAGCTCGATCTTGCGGTAGACGCGGGAGGGGATGCCGCTCAGGTACTTGTCGCGTAGCTCCAGGTTCCCATACCCGGAACGGTCCGCCGGACCCTTGAACAGTGCAGAGAACTCTGCGGCGGTGCGCTTCTCGCGCATGGTTTTGTCGGAGCAGAGTTTGGTAAGCTCCACCTGTGCCGCAGCGGCATCGTCGAGATTGCCAAATCAGGCCTTGAATGCCTGAAGGAAGGCTTTTTCGTCGACGAAGGGGGTTGTCGCTCCCTGGATCCCGATTTGGACGGAGGCAAGCTGGGAGAAGATGGGGGTGGCCCAAGCTCGCGCGTCTCCATCGAGGAGACTGAGGGCAACCTGGATCTTCAGCTCGAGGGAAGAGAGGGCCGTGTTGATCGTCCAGTAGATGAGCAACTGCGAGATGAAGCGGTTGCATTCGATCACCGACTTTCCATCGTATCGGAGCGGGAGGAGGAGCTTCAATGTCTCCTTATCAGGGACTGCAGCGGGAGAGGACATTATCGGCGACGAGGGGGACGAAGGACTGCCCGCGGACGGAGGCGACTGTTGTGACTGTCCGCCGGGCGAACTTCTCGAGGAACGAGTGCTTGAGCGGCCTCGCGGCGGCGACGGCGGTGAAGCCGGTTGAGGAAGCCCGGAGGCGGGGTGACGTAGGACAGGGACTGAAGTCGAGGCGGTGATCGCTGACGACGAGCTGGCCCAAGAATGCGGCGGAGTGTCGCGGGGCTCGGTTTTGGGAGGCCTTTCCAGCCGCGGCCCCAAGGAGGGCTGGGGGATCGCTTGAGGGGTCGCTGAAGGCTGTGCGACTGCCTCAGTTCCTCGAGTGAGATAGGGATCTCCTCGCGCTTGACCTGTACTGGCGACAGGTTGGGGGATGCGGGTGCCTGGCGAGGCAGGTCGGGATGGGACGGGAGTGACGTGGCGAGATGTAAATCTCGAGGTGCCAGCGTACCGGAGTGCAGGGCCGCGGGGATGTTGGACCCGTCGGATTGGTACGAAGTGTCCTTCGTCAACAGTGATGGATCGTGGAGTGCGATTAGGGCACGGTTGCCGATCACAGATGAAGAAGGGAGGTCTGTCTTCGCTGCTCTTTGGGTCGTCACGAGAGACGTCGACCTGATCCTGGGTGTCGAAGGCGTGCTCAAGTCGAGAGCAGTCGAAGAATTCGTCAGCCACGTTGATGGGGGGAGGAAGGGGAGGTGTGCGTGCTACGAAAGGCCGTGCTAGCTAGCTTACACCTACGGCGCCCGAGGTAACACTAGGGTTCGCAGTTCACGTGGGGCCCAGTACTGCTTTTGGCTAGTATGCAGCAGGAACCTAAGCCACGCGTCCGTGAGGACAAGTACCGCCCACTGAAGTGCAGGTACTGAAGAGTTCGTTCCCTTAAGTGGTGGCGATGTATAGTACGCTATCTAGGTATCGTAGGGTACAGTAAGGGTGCGCACCACCCAACCTATAGGAAGTGAATGTGAGTTTGTGGGAGTCCCGAGGGACGCCGGCAGCTGTGGAGAGTTTCGACCTGATGTCGCGACTTGAGGTCAAGCGATAGGGGAAGATCTGAAAGCTGGGGGCGTCCGACTAAATCTCACCGAAGCGATGGTGAGCAGCGCTCAAACCTAAGGCTAGGGACAAGTAAGTTAGTATTGAATAAGTAAGTAAGTACAGGGGCTTTGTCACGAGTTGGTACGGCGCCTAGCCGTTTTTTTAATTTTTTCCTTTTCGCGGGCTCGAACCCGCGACCTCTGTACTACCTGCCTGATATGGACGCATCACTATCTACTGTACGATTAGATTAGATGGGGCGGCAACGCACGGCACAGCTCGGGCCCCGCTGACACAGCCGCTCTGACTCACCGGCCCCCGGGGCCGCGTCGGCATGCTGCGCACAGACCAGCTGCGCACGGACCAACGTGCACAGCCTGCCCTAATCTCCCCCTGTATATAAACCTGCCTCTGCTGCCCTAGGGACCTCAGTTTCGACCTCTTGTCCCTAGGTCAGTAAGCCCCTGTACTTACCTACTTATTCAATACTAACTTACTTGTCCCTAGCCTTAGGTTTGAGCCTAGCTCACCATCGCTTCGGTAAGATAAGTCGAACGCCCCCAGTGTTTGGTTTTCCCCTGTCGCTCGACCCTAAGTCGCGACATTAGGTCGAAACTCCTCAACGCTGCCGGCGTTCCAAAAACACTCATCTTTCCTCTCCCATAGGTTGGGTGGTGCGCACCCCTACTATACCCTACGATACTTAGATAGCCTACGATACATCGCCACCACTTAAGGGACGAACTCTTCGGTATCTGCACTTCAGTGGGCGATACTTGTCCTCACGGACGCGTGGCTTAGGTTCCTGCTGCATACTAGCCAAAAGCAGTACTGGGCCCCACGTGAACTGCGAACCTTAGTGTCTTCT